CATACAAACATGGATGATACATAATCAAAGCATACATGTGACATGATTTTAACAAGACCAAAGTAACATAAGTATGTCATATCAAAGTATGTTCATGATAATAACATGTGAGCATGAATATAAACAAAGATTCAAATCAACATGGATATAATAATATCAAACATGGATGAACTAAGGTGAGATGGTTTAGGGTTGACAACTAACACCACTTAATCATGAATAAAATCTAAGATTTCAAATAAATGAACAAGTTTAAAACACCACTTAATCATGAATACAATTTAAGACATGGTTCAAGATACAAAGGTAACAACCAAGGGTTCGTGTCAAAGAGTACATTATGGTTACAACATGTCTAAGCATTTCAAAAAGGATTGAATGTAGTAAGCATGAAGTTTAGGAGCCAAACAAAATTATGGTATCAAAGCTAAGGAAAAACATGAACATATGATCAAAGATGATTCAAACACAAAGAAAAAAAACATTCAAAGGTTTAATATGGTATAAGTATCATGCCAAAGTAAAGAGAAATGTTTCATAAACAAACATGAAGAAACAAGACATGTTTACATGAAAATCAAGCATTAAAGTACACTAAACTTAGGCAAAAATCAATAGGATCATGTCATTAACATCAAACAAGGGTCACACAATATTCATGATATTTAAAAACATCAATATGTTCAAGTAAAACCAAAGAACCATTTTATAACCTAAAGTCACTTAAAAATGCACCTTCCTTTGACTAAATAAAAATGTATGAAAACAATATTATTTTTTGGATTTTTTTTTTGCATATTCATAAAATAGGTATGATTAGTAACATGTGTGCAAAAAATTAGTTCAAAAGGAATTAATTTTATATGGGAAATAATTGGATGAATTTACAAAGAATAACAAAAAAAACAAGTGGTAAAAAAATAAGGGAAAACTACCTAGGGGAGTTGAACCCTTGAGCTAAGGGTTGCAGACCCAAAATCTTACCACCGGGCCAGCATGCATCTAGTGTTAATGGAATACACAGAATACAATAGATATTAAAAAAAATAATTTAAATTTGAGAAGTGGCGCTAGCCCCCCTCCTTCTTCTTCAATCCCGTATTCCACCATTGTTTTTTAATCAAATTCAATGTTCCAATATACCATTTCGAAAGGAATTTCATGAGAAATTAGAATATGTGATTAGATTTTATTTATTTACACTCCAACTCACGAATTTTGGGAAAAATTCATTGAACCCTAATTTTTCAAACTAAAATTAAATACCTACTATGCACAACCAATAGTCACAACCTTAGGGTTTTTATTCACTACATTATAACAAGAAATGTGGTAACAAGAATGATGAAAAATGATGCTCTAAAATAGGAGTTCCAGAAATGGCCATTGACCTCCAAAAATGAGAAATTGAGTTTGATGCTTTAGGACTCCCAGTTGCAATCTTTTGACTCCTACAACTTCCTTGAGGTCTAAGCAATGTGTTTGGATGCTTTGATTGCTTTGGTACAACCTCAAACTTTCTGCACGAATCCTCTTGCCAATATGCAAAATGAGAACTTGTTCTTCAAGGAAATGGTGTTACAGTTATAAAAAGATGTTTTGAACAACTTGTACAATGTCTATGGATGTTATTTGAAAGCTTGAATGGATTGGAAAAGGCTTAGATGTTGTGTTAGGGTGTTTTATGCATAAAAACCAACAAACTTGGTGTTGAAGGATAACTTTTGGATGTTAAGGATTTTTTATGAAAGTGATGGTCTGAACACCTTTGTTATGTGTTTTGTGGTGTCATTGGGTGAGTGGTTTTAAATATTTGCGAATAGAAAAGGTTTTGAAAAGTTATGCGAAAATGAAGTTTTTTGCCAGGTTTCTTGCAAGTTCTGGTGTGAAGGCTTACTCAAGTGTTTTTCAAGTGTGTTTGGTTATGAGATATGATTCTCTATTTATAGAGGTCCTATGTGACTCGTAAAACCAAATTTGGTTCATTTGGAATTGTGGTTTGGAGGATTTGGTTCAATTTACACAAGAAAGTACCATTAATCATGATGAAAAGTTTGAGTGAATTAGGGGATATGGCTGTGATTTTCTAATGTTTAGATGTTTCTTCTGAGCATTAAAGATTTGTTTTTGATCTGATGCAACAACTTAGAGGCTCAAGTGGTTAGCAAAAGCAAGCTTTATCAAAATAGACATAATGCTTTATGAAAAACACCCATAAATGGTATGATACTTGGACAATGCCCCAAATCCTTGTGTAATGCACCAAGGGCTTGTGCAATATTCTGATCGTAGAAAGATTGAGAAGCAAAATAGTTTGCAAAGCAAGATTATGCACCATAGGCATTGGATTTGATCATGAACTTGCCATAGAAATGACCTAAAATTCATCTTGGAATTGCCAACTTCATATCTTCGAAACTCCTAGCTCAAACATGATAAAATTGTGTTCTTAGACTTTTTGGAAAGCTCAAAACATCCTATACAGCTTTCATGTTGACAACTTTTCTTGATTCAATTGGGATCATGGTGAAAAAGGGCCAACAAGTGAGTCACTTTTAGGGGCCAGAATTGCTGAAAATTTTCTAAGTGTTTTTGGTTCAAAAGGCAAAGAAACCTCCACTTCATGGTTTCATATCTCTCAATCTATGCATTTTTTTGGGAAATCATCCTCAAAGACAAAGTTATAGTATGGAAGAAGCTCCTCAATTTGGTTTTTGGAGCAAAGAAAATGGTTACTTGGTGAGGAAGTTATGAGCTTGACAATTTGAATAAAAATCAATGAATTTCATAACTTAGCAAAAATCACGTAACCCTAGTTTCTACAAATCCTAATTCTTTGATGTTCTCCTTAATTTTCTTGATTGGTCATGATCCAAATCACATGTTTTCATGATCCTTGACTTGAGAAGTCCATGTTTGACCAAAAAATCAAAAGTCAAACTTGACTTTGATCAGTGGTTGACTTTTGTATCAGATGAAATCCAAAGTGCATACTTCAATGAAATCAAATCTTCGGGCTATTTAAACATTATGGATGGACTCCAAAGGTGTCTTTGAGTGTCATGAATCATGCCCTAAGGCTTGAGATCATGTTCTGGTCAAAAGTCAAAGGTGCAGTTGACTTTTCATCAGAAACTCTAATTTGTGGACCAGATGAATTTGAAACTTGACAAACTTGTAATGAGGCCATAAGATACTTGATTGTTGATGTAGGGAAGATCTTGATCATGAGGACTTGATATCTTGATGATCAATCTAAGACTTTGACTGATCAACCAACAATCTCCTTGATGCAAACCCTAATTCACAAATAAACAAAGCAAGACAAAATATTTTGATAATTTGAGGGTTAGCTATGCATGAATGACATACCTAAGATGTGTTGGATGTTATGCAAATGATGATGAAATTTAGGAATAAAATTTGGGGTATTAACACATATCACACTAGCATCCGCTTTGGTTGAAAACTCAATCATATTTATAAACCATTCCATCAAATGCTCTTGATAAGACCCGGAACTCGTCACCGGCACCCTAACCCAATTGCCATTAGCCCTTAAAACATCTTGAGTTTGGGAACAAGAGAGAAACAAATGTTTTACGGATTCTTCGCATTGAAAACAAAAGAAATAAACCATATTGCGAAGATTAGAAATTATCCCTTTGACCTCTAGATTAGAGTGGGTCGGAAGTCTATTCAAAATCAACCTCCACCCGAAAATCTAAACTTTCATAGAAATCGAAGTTTGCCAAACAAATTCCAAAGCAGTCTTGAAAATAATATCTAACGATTCAACCTCACAAACCTTCTGGATAAAGACATACCTAGATTTGACGGAAAAACAATTATTTGTAGACTTTGCCTAATAATAAAAATCTTCTTCCCCCAACGTTGGAGCGACTTTTTCCAATAAAAGGTAGAGCTCCGTGAAAGCCGCACGCAATTCATCAAATAACTCATGTTCTTGAAATCCCAAGTTCCAAGTCCACAAGTCCCTCGACCAGCTCCCCAATTCGTTAACTGCAGCAAGTTTGTGTGCAACAGCTTCATACAGCAGCGAGAAGGATCTACTTAGTGGAAGCGCTTGGAACCAACAAGAATTCCAAAAGGATATGCGATCTCCGATTCCTAACTTGCAGGATAACTAAAACATAAATCCATCATCATCCTTGGATGCAGCCATCTTATAAATATCCTTCCACAACAAAGACAAAAATTTGCTCCTGTTACTATGATTATTCAAAATTAATTTAAGGGCATAGTCACCATATTTAAATGATAGCAGTGGCTGCCAAACAACACCCTTATCTTGAATTTATCTCTAGATCCACTTTGACATGAGATATCGATTAAAAACATGAAGATCCTTCACACCAATGTCACCTTGATCCTTTGGTTTACAAATTACCGACCAACTAACCCAAGCCATCTTCGAAGCATCGTTGGATCCCGACCATAAGAAACTCCTTTGAATTGTCACCAGTTCTTTCACGATTTTTGTTGGCGCTTTGCAAAAAGAAAGATGGTGTATAGGAAGATTTGTTAGCACTGAATTGATGAGAGGAACTCTACTTCCCAAAGACAACTGCTACACATTATTGACAGTTACATTTATTTTGTCACATAGACAAAATGCTAATTTACACGTTAAATTTAACAAATTTTTTACTACTACTGAATTATTTTAACAGATTTATCCAATGAGTGTTTATTACAAACTGAGTTAATGTATTTTGTTTATATTATGATTGATAACTTTTTGTTTCATTGACAAAAATGTTGTGTTTAGTTAAAGATGTAGAAAGGAGAAATAAATAATCATGAGAAGAATGGAGAACCAAAAACACACAACAAGCAAGCGGTGATGGACACTTCCCTACACATTCTATAACCACGTGTCTTTCTTTTCCCATCACATACGGTTATAAAATAATATCCTTTTGTTCGACATCAACTTCTAACTTAGCCAAAATAAAGTTATCCATCAAACAAATACCATGATTAATGCTCATGCTAACTTGCATAAGAGAAAATCTTCCTTGATTGCTGATGGGAATCATGCTGCTGCTTTTAAGGTATGTATGTATGCAATTTTTATGGTATGCTTCAACGGAGCAAAATTTGAAGAAGAATTCTAACTCAATTTCTTGTATATTATTACAAGACATCAAGGAAGGGAACCTATATGGACTCTCTTGAAAGAAAGGACGATGCTGTTGTTGATGATAACAACAACAATGAAGAAAAAGATGGAGGAGAAGCTGCTGATGATGAAAAGAATAAGCCTTCTACTCGATGTTTTAGCCACGGTTTTCATTTAATGGAAGGAGAAATGAACCATGGAATGGAAGACTATGTTTCTGCTCAACACAGGAAACTCAATGGTTACGATTTAGGATTGTACGCAATATTCGATGGACATGCAGGTCGCGACGTTGCAAAATATTTGCAAAACCATCTATTTGAAAATATACTGAATGAGGTTAGTATGTTTCATTCTACACATTATTATCATTATATTATTCAAACACTGTAATTTGATTTCTTAATCCTGCATGGATAGCCTGATTTCTGGGAAAATCCAGTGCATGCTGTTAAGAAAGCATGTAAAACTACCGACGAGGAGATATTAGAAAACATAGCTGATTGGAGAGGAGGATCAACCGCTGTGGCAGCAATACTAATTAATGGAGTAAAGCTACTGGTAATCAACGTTGGCGATTCGCGTGCAATATTGTGTAAAAATGGTATTGCGAAACAGCTTACGGTGGATCATGAACCGGAGAAGGAAAAAGATCTGGTTGAGAGAAGAGGAGGTTTTGTCTCTAAGAGACCTGGTATTGTGATTCACACCTATTTTTTGTTAGAGTTTTCTAATAATATAGATTACTAGTTTTCATTCGGTTTTGTTAGGGAGTGTTGCAAGAGTGGATGGAGAGTTAGCAATGACAAGAGCATTTGGAGATGGAAAACTGAAAGAGCACATCACTGCTGAACCAGATGTGATGATTAAGAAGATTGATGATGAGACTGAATTCATCATTTTGGCAAGTGATGGTTTGTGGAAGGTAGAAAAGTAATGACAATAATTTAAGGAAGATGAAAAATTTGGAGTGAAATCTTTAATTAGTTTGCTACCTTATTGTAGGTGATGACAAATCAAGAGGCTTGTAATTGTATTAAGGATGTTGATGATGCTCAAAAAGCAGCAAGAAAGTTGGTGAAAGAAGCCAAATCCATGGGAAGCTATGATGATATTTCATGCATTGTTGTTATGTTCTAGATTACTTTAATATTATCTTTAATAAATATTGAAATTTTAATATATATTCTTCTCCAAATTGTTAAAGCCTGAAGTCCAAAGCCACACCGCCCCTTCCTACTCCCCCAGATCCCTCACCGCTTCATGTTTTCTCTCAAGTATTATAGAGGAGGTCAGAAAAAAGAGACTTTAAAGAGGTATTTCCAATCCATCTAGAAGTCTATAATGGCATAATATTTCCATCACCAAGTCTGCATGAAAGAAACTCAGTGAAGCCAACAACCTCCAAAGAATCACCATATTCCATCAAATCCATGATTCTTGACACAAAGTGATTCTTTTCAACAACCTCCAAAGAATCACCATATTCCATCAAATCCTTTCACCAAAGTGATTCTTGACACAAAAATGTTGACACGTCTTAGGACAAAATTCTTCTAATAATGTTTCCATATCTAACTTTAAGGATTCCACACCAAATCGCTTATCTTTCTTTGATAAATCTTCATAACCATTTAGATAGCAGAGCTCTATTGAAAACACCAACATCTTTGATCTCAATCCTACCAAACTCATTAGGTTTACACACGGATTTTCAGCTTACCTAAGCTATACTTCTTTTATCCATCAAGCCTGACCACAAGAACCTTCTTTGGATTGAGACAATTTGTTGTATTACTTTGACTGGTGCTTTAAAAAATAATAGGTGGTGGACATAGTTAATGAGTGTAATTCTTTCCTCAATGGAAAGCAAACTTCCCCTCCATGTTGATAGTCGTGTCTTGAAACATGTAATAACACGTTTCCATAAAGATATCCTTATATGATTTTCTCCTACCATGAGGTCGAGAAATTTAAAAGGTATAATTTCCTTACCAAAAACTGAGCAGTTGCCATCATAAAAGATTCCTCCACTTCAACCTCATATAGACAACTCTTTCAAGAACTGATTTTCAATCCAGACACCATTCAAAACCTCTTAGAATAGCTTTCAACTCCTAGAGATTTGACCACGATCCGTCACACACAACTTAGAATAGCTTTTAACTCCTAGAGATTTGACCACGATCCGTCGCACACAAGAATGACATCATCAGCAAATTGCAGCAAACTAGATGAGACTTTATCATTTAGCTTAAAGCCACTGAGTATACCCTTCAACCACAATTGAGAACAAGAAAGGAGGGATCACTCTGTCTCAGACCCCTTGACACCTTAAATCTTGAGTTGTGTTTTCATTCACCAAAACTGACATGTAACTAGTAAAAACCCCGCCTTTTATCTATTGCATCCACTTATCACCAAACCCCATAATCAATAATACCTTTTTTAAAAAGTCCCAATCCACATAATCATATGCATTAGCAAAATCTACTTTGAACATGTTGTGAATCAGATATCTTTAAACAAAGTATAAACCATTTCTTTGCGATTAAGAAACATACAAGGATTAATTATTAAACTGCTATTCTTTTCTTTCTCTTTGAACAAGATTACAAGTATACAAGAATAACAAAATAACCTTTCTCTCTTTAAATTAGGATTTTATCTTCCTATTTTTTCTTATTTAAAGATTGAGAAACTAGCATCCTATTTATAAGAAAAATAACACGCTAATCTAATGGACTTTTTAACAATTACCCATTACAAGCTAACTTAAACACTTGGGCTTACAAGCAAGGCCCATTCCAATATCCTAATAACCTAGCAATATTGACTAATGCATGTTAGAACAAACTTCGACTACAACACGCATTATCTTCGACAGCAGCATGCAAACAGACTTTGACGTCATGCTTAATTCCTGTCGAACCAGAAGCTACCATTTGATCATACTAGAGTTTGATCCAATATCTCACAAATATCCACCTTGGATCTAACTCTATAACATCAAGAAACTGGCTTTCTTCATGTAGCTTTATCAATTGCATACAGTGGAAAAACTTGCAACTGGGCAACATCTTGGTGATTATATCAGCAGTATTATGATCTGTCGAAACCTTCAGCACTTGGACTTCTCCACACTCGGTTATCCCTCTGATGAAATGCAGCCTCACATCAATGTGCTTAGTTCGTTCATGATAGGCTGAATTCTTTGACAGGTGTATTGCACTTTGACTATCACATTTAACAGTGATAACTCGACCTTGAAGTTTTAGCTCCTTTGCAAAACCTTCAAGCTAAAATGCTTCCTTCACAACTTCTGTTAGGGCAATATACTCCGCTTCAGTGGTTGATAAGGCAACGACCTTTTGAAGTGTTACTTTCCAACTGATTGTTGTCCCAAACATAGTGAACACATATCCTGAGATAGATTTTCTAGAATCCATACAACCTGTATAATCAAAGTTGACATATCCTTCGATTGCTGATTTATTATTGTAATACCCCAAATTTTGCCCTAAGATTAGTCGATTCACCTCGCATTCCATTTCATTTCACATTGCGTTTGACTAACCAATAGCGGGCTGTGCAGTTGGTTGATTTTTGCAGGGAAATACTAGGTGACACACTCTTTGGTTCACAAAGGGCAAAACGGTCATTTGTTGGTAGTTGGCTGTAAATTGGTGAATTTGAGTTGTCGTCGGGGAATTTGAACCGTTTGAGTCATTGATGAGAATCGAGGTTGAGGTGGTTTAATCAGAAGCTATATTGAGAAAGGGATTAGTCGGATAAATTAGGTGAATTTGGAATTAGTAAGTCATAAAATAATTTTATTTCATCTTTCAGTTTTTAGGGCATTTCATTGTTACATCCTATTTATTTCATTTTCTAAAAGCAATTCTATTTCCTTTCTCAAAATTAATAATCTTTGCATTTTTAAATAAGTTATTTAATTTCATTTTTAAACATTGTATCCATTTTATGTTTTAAACACTATTTGTTTTCTATTTTCAAATCAATTATTGCATTTTTAACTTTTGTTTGCATTTCTTTGTTTAAATATTGGTCATTTTCCATTTTTTTGGTTTAATTTTCTTTTAATATTATGGAAATTTTATTTTAAGAATAAAAGAATGCTTCTTAATAATAATTTTTTCATTTCATTTATAATTTACATTTTTACCATATCCAAATACAATTCATAATTAAATTAAAAAGTATTATTAATGATAATTATTCTTTACAAAAAAAAAATCATAAGTAATTAAAAATATAAAAAATTACAAAGTACAAATATACATTTTTTCCCTAAATTAATTCCTAAGGTCTTGTTATCCGACTTTGTCCGTCTTCCGACTTTTCCGATTAAATGCTTCGAACCTGCAGTCAAAACATACAAACAATGGTATCGAGTTAATATTTCCCGACACCCTCAGAGTAGTATCATCATCGGGTGTCGGCCGATGGCCAGATCAGACAGCTTTTGTTCTTATAATTTTTTCGAGGCAACCGAGAAAGAAGAAAAGAGCTTATTTGAAAAGCCGGTTTGAGAAGGGATTTCTTCTCAAGAGGACGGTTTGCCCCATTGGGACCTTAACTCCAATCCTCCGAAAAAAATCAATTTCGGCAAAATCCGACAATATCCAACAAGCGGAAATAGTTCAAACAAAACCAATTCAGAAACTGATCCAGAAAACCAGTTCAGAAAGAACCGAAAAAACCAGTTCAGAAAGAACCAGAAAAACCAGTTTCGAAAAACCCCAGAAACCAGTTCAAGGAAATAGTCCGACAAACCGGTTCAGCAAACAATGTCCAGAACAAGTCAACAAACACTTTCAACAGTCGAATCTAAAGCAAATTCAAGCAAAAGTTCCACCAGCAAAACCGTGGATTGGAAGCTCCTACAAGATCAATAACAAACGTAACAAACATAGGCGAACAACGGAAATAACCTTTCTTCAACAAATCATCCCCATAAAAATCGCAACAAACCAGGTGATAATCTAGCCCACAAAGAATCATATAAGATCCATCATCATCAGGTTTTAAAAGGGGGAAGATCCGAAACCCTAATAAAAAAGGATGGCGGCTCATAAGGATCCATAAGCCATCATCATCGCCCACCATTAAGGAGATTCAGAAGCAAAAAAACACTCCATCATCACCTCCAGTTGAACAAGAGGAATTCAGATCCAAAGACCTTAACGAAAAAAGGAAGCTTTCGATTAGAGATCGCGAAGCCGTTTCCGTCGCCATCGCCGCCGCCACGAGGGCAACTGGTAGTCAATGAACTCTCAAAGGCCTCAGGCTTTCCATCATCGGCTGAATCGCAACATCGAACCTTTTCGTCACCTGCATGCAATCATCCTCAACCGAACATCACAAACCGCCACCGGAAGGATTGCCGTCACCGTCGAAAACGGTAAGATCGCTAAACGTGAGTTCTTTTGTTTTGCTAACATTTCAATATCGTGTTTGGTTCAGGTAGAAGAAGGTGATAAGGGTCAAACGAAGAAGAGGAAGAACAAACTCGGAGGGAGCTTCAATGGCGGCATCACAAAGAGGAAGACGCTGGGAGAAGCCGTATGGGTCTGCCGCCGCGAACAAGACGGAAAGGGTTTAAAACCCTAAGGGATTTTGAGTTCCCCTTTTATATCCCCTTTCTATTCTCCGTTTGTTTCTTTCTTTTTGTTTTCATTATATTTTTTTGTTAAATTAAATTAATTTTGTAAATACGTTTTTTAATTATTAGAATTCTGGTTCTTATCAAACTTTTTTAATAAGAATTAGCTAATTTTTTAACTAATTTTTTTTAAAAGTAACTTTTTGCTTAAACCCGGGTAAAGCTAATATTCTTTTTAGGAAAACTTAATTAAAATCAGTTTTTTAATAACTTAAAGCCCATTAATACATTTTTTTTAAATTAAACATTTTTCAAATAAAATTAAACCATTTTTTTCTAATAAAATTAAAATATATTTTTTCAAATAAAAGTAAGCATTTTCTCAAATAAGATTAAAACATGTTTACAATAAAATTAAAACCAATCTCTTTATTTAAAATTAAAACATTTTTCATTAAAATTAAAACCAATTTCTTTATTTGAAATTAAAACAAATTTTTAGTAAACAATTATA